GGGGGGGGGGGGGGAGATTATAGATTGAGAAGAGACAGAGACGCCCGCGCAGTCACATTAGAAGACACTGTCCCGCAGGATGTATGAGGCATATACGATGACGGGGTGCTTTACGTGGCGCCAGAAGCCTCTTCTCCTCTCTCTCCGTCCCCCCCCCCTTTCCCCCGCAAGGTGCTCCATCGGTCCCCCCTTTCTTTCTATTAAGGCATCGATTCAGTTTCTCTCAACGGGCGCCGCGCGTGCGGTGATGTCTCTGTGGGGGGAGGGGGAGGGGTAGAGGAAGTCGGGCTGAGGGCTAGATGAGACAAGCCAACACGCTGCGCCCCGAATAGGGAAGCTCCTGTCAGCTCCCATCGAAACCCCAAGCCTGAGCCCTGAGCTTCCCCGGCGGCGCCTCTCTCCGCCCCCCCCCCTCCCTCCCTCCCGCCACGCCCCGCCCCGCGACGGCCGTCACCTGTTCCGCTTCCCGGCCGCCGTCGCGCAGCCTAGGCGCTGCGTTGCGCCGCTGGGGGACAGAGCACGCTGCCGGCGGCGTTGAGACATGTGGTTTAAATTTAGGACTTTACGCCTTGTACCGCTGCTGCTGTGTGCCGCCTGCGCTCGGCCAGCCCCGCCCCGCCCCCCCGCGCGCCGCGCCCCGCGGCCCTGCTCCTTCGCGCCCCGTGCTCAGGCGCACACTCGCTCGCCGCCGACAGTCCGACGGGAAGCTGGTCCCGGGCGTCCTGCGAGCGAGCAGAGCGAGTGAGGGTCATTGCTTCGCAGTGGCGCCATGGCGTCCCTCCTAACAGGCCAATGTACAATTATTACAAAAAACAACAAGTTCGAAAACTGGCCCGTTAGACTAGTTACTGGCCTTGTAATCCATCGGACATTTGTTGATTATACTGATGAGCCATAGGGAATGTACGAAAAGCAAGTGTAACTGAACAATAACGTCTGCTCAATGTATTTCATAATTATTTCTGAACTGCGATCAAATTTACATGTAACACACTTCCCTTACACTTTTAACATTCCATTACCTCATGACATTGTATGGGACTATCATTAGGTACTTCAGCAGCCTCTAACTCAAATGTTAATGCTTCCAATAAACGCACATGTAGAGAGAAAATTGGCTGTTATAAGCAATTCGTTTTCTAATATTTTAAATTTAGAATTTGGTCACAGTGCACCAGTAATGGTTCTAAAATTAAACATTCCTTTGCTCCTGATGTTTTACATTTTCGCTGGAAGTCCCGTTGTAGTGCAAAACTCATTTAGATGTGTGCAGTCACCAAATGCCTGCTATTTTTTTTTAAACAGGAAAATTCCTTTACATATTTTTGAGTTACTCAAAATTTGCCGTCTTCCTTTAGTTATCGGTATTTTTAAAGTTTCACCTTTATCCCCCGCCCAAAAAGAAATAAAATGTAAAAAATAGAATTATTTTTGCCATGTGGACATTTTTGTTTATTTTTGGTCCAGTTACGCGATACAACAACTAGACAACAATCAAGTCTGCTGCCCCGCTTGTTTTGATACAACAACGTCGCCGAGGGCAGCGGCCCTCCTGTGGCGCTAGCGCTGTCGCGGGTGCCTTGTCCACGGCCAGGGCGCGTGGCGGCCGGGTGGTGTCACCTGAGCTGGCTGGGCGCTGAGCGCGGGCCGCTGGGCGGGCCTTCCCCCGGGGCTGTGCGCGGGGAGCGAGCCGCTAGGGCCGCGGCCGCCGGCCCGCCCGCCCGCCCGGCTCGGTGGACGCTTCATAACCTATAACGCCTAATATGGCCCAATCTCAGATTTCGGAGGAGAGGCGCCCGATTTAGAAGGAGTTTGTTTCGGCCGGCGAGCCGGGAGCCGCGGCTTCGGGCTTCGGGACGCGCGCTCGGCCGGCGTTCGGCTGTTTTCGGCCAAGCTAAGCTTAGGAGGCGGGGCGGGTGGGGCTGGGCGCCCTCCCAGCCCCCCGGCGCCCCGCCCCCTCCCGGCCGCGGACCTCCCGGCGCAGTCGCTTCAACAAGAGAGTTTTAAGGGGAAATGGCGGAGTTTGAGTGATATTTTTAACTCCCCCGCCTTCGCTGCCCCCGGGCCGCGCGCGACCGGGCTTGTTTGCCCCGCGGGACTTCGCCACCGTCGCCGTCACTTAGGCCCTTGTTGCCGCTAAGAAACCCCTTGCAATGGGCAGGGCGGGGCGCGGCGGGGACGGGGCGGGGCGTGGCGTGGCGGGGCGTAGCCGGGAGGGCGGTCGCCGCTCGCGGCGCCGAGTCGTCCTCGAGTAGCCAGCCGCCGCGCACCGCCGCGCGCCCCAGCCGCCGCCTCCCCGGTGCAACAGGCGCCGCGCCGCCCCGCCGCCCTGCTGCAGCCCGTCCTTGTGCACGACGCGCACGCGACGCGAGACGCGCCGTCGCGCGAGTGCAGGAGTAGTGCTACAACAAAGTGACATGCGACGCGCCCGCCCGGCGCCCGCCCCCTAGTGCCTCTGGATACGTCGGGGCCGACCCCTGCCTGCAGGCCGGGCCGGAGCTGGAGCCGAAGCCTGTGGAGTAGCTGCCGGCGGCAGTGATGTTGCCGGAATCTGGATGCTGTGTCGCCTTTGGCTTCGGTGAGTGCACCCGCTGCGTCGCCGCATCCTGAGGGGTGCTTCCCCGTGTCGAGTCCTATCGATGTCACGTCACGACGTAGTGCCGTGTGCGACGCTCCGCTGATCGTCAGCGCCCCCTCTGCTCTCCCCTCACACCGGAAACAGTGCGGTCATTAGGTCCGCCTTCGGGTGTTGTGTCCTTACGGCCTACAGGATTCTCTCTCTCTCTCTCTTTCTCTCTCCTCGTCCGGGAATCAATTTGCCACACACGCACACACACACACACACACACGCACGAATGAGGCAAGAACGGAATCTCAAACGACCACACCAGCGCGCGCCTATTGTTCTCATTTTAACCTCGATTTTCTCTCGGCGCCCCAGCCGTGACGGCGTACATGTAGTGATGCAGCCCCAGACCACGCCAGGGTGGCCATCAACAGTGATTTCTTTTTGCAACGCGGGTTAGTCGCGGCGGAGCGACCGGGCGACGCGCGTCTCTCTCGCTGCGTCGTCCAGGGGCGGTGGAGAGAATTTTCGTCGAGTTGGTACGAGTACTGTGGTTTGGTTAGTAGTGGGAGTAGTATTAGTGGTGGTTTAAGTAGTAGTAGTGGGTGCTCTCGGCGGGGGAGGAGGTCGGCGCCACCACAGTGCTGCCACCTCACGAGCTTAATCACTGCCCGCCCCGCCCCGCCACGCCCGCGGTATGTATTGTCTGAATAGCACGCCCACCGACCGACCGCCGCCGCCGCCGCCTCTCGAGCGCCGAACGCATTGCCAACTTTGAAAATGAGAAAATCCGGTCGCCAGTGCTGCGCTGTGCTGCGCTGTGCTGCGTTCTGGCTTGAGAGGTGGGAGGCGGGCGGGCGATGCGCCCAGCGGGACGACTCTGACGCGGGCGCCTTATTGATCGTACCGCTCATGTCCAAGTCCCCCACAGATAGCCTATCTGGACGCCATCCGTCATCCCGCACTCATCCCGGCCCGGCGCTGCAGCCGGCCGGCCGCGGCCACACCGGCAGAGGGGGCGCGTGGGCGCGCGGCAGCAGCGGCGGTCTGGACGGCGACTTTTAAAGACCAATTCTTTTTCCTGAAAAAATTAAAGATATATTCTTAAGAAACTCTACCCCCCCCCCAAATAGTTTTTATTTTTGGAAATTTGAATCGCTGTAACGGTGACGCGCCGCGAGGATCGACAAAAGAATTCATTTTTCATGTGAGGTTGATCATTACATGATTGTAGTGCTGAAGACGGGGTGTTGTGGTCACCGCGTGCGGCCGTGCGCTCCCCCCCCCCCCATGCGTGTGCACACGGAGGCCCCGGGGGCTCTCCTCGCTTCCCTCTCCCCCCCTCCCGAGCACCTCTATGTAAAACGCTCTCGAGTTATGCGCGGCGCAGGGGCGAGCGCCGTGTGCGACACACAGCGATCGGAATATTATCGATCGGATTCCGGTCGTGACAGACGCAGTGGGGCCTACGCGGGAGGCGTGGCGCGGCGTGGTGGAGCGTGGCGTGGTGTGGCGGGGCGTGGCGGGGCGTGGTGGGG